CCCCCTCTCTCCATGTACCCTGCACAGACCCTCCCTCTCCCTTTCTCCATGTACCCTGCGCAGACCCCCTCCTATTCTCCATGTACCCTGCGCAGCCCCACTCCTATTCTCCATGTACCCTGCGCAGCCCCCCTCCTGTTCTCCATGTACCCTGCGCAGCCCCCCTCCTGTTCTCCATGTACCCTGCGCAGCCCCCCTCCTGTTCTCCATGTACCGTGCAGACTCCCTCCCTCTCTCTCTCCATGTACACTGCACAGCCCCCCATACTTTCTCCATGTACCCTGCACAGCCCCCCATACTTTCTCCATGTACCCTGCACAGACCCTCTCCTATTCTCCATGTACCCTGCACAGACTCCTTCCCTCTTTCCATGTACACTGCACAGCCTCCCTTTCTCCATGTACCCTGCACAGATCCACTTCCTCCATGTATCCTGCACAGAACCCCTTACATCATGGGTGTCCAACCTTTTGGCTGAGCACAGAGGAAATGTCTTGGGCCACACATAAAGCCTATAATATAATTAGTTTATATAATAAAACTTAAAAACCCATTTTATTTTTGTTTAGTAGACAACTCCCTCATTTGTTATTATGTGGAATTGCCATATTTAAACATACCAAATTAGGGAGCTGTCTACTAAATACATACACATGTATATGCATACGGACACATAACCACAGATATACATATACACATACACAGTCACATACGCACACATAATCACAGATGTACACACAGACATACACATACAATCACAGACCTATACATACAATCAAATATCTATACACACATAATCACAAATTTACACAGATACACACACACACACAATCAGACTCCCACACTCATAGAATCACATACATACACAATCACAGACCTATACACACAATTACAGATATACCCAAACACAATCACATACATTCACACACAGTCAGACCCACACACACCCAATCACAGATGCATACACACATAGTCACAGACCTATACGCACAATCACATACCTACAAACTCATCAGACACACACAAAAAATCAGAGATATACACACACAATCACAGACCCACACACATAATCACTGATTTACACCTGCGCACAGACCCCCCACCACACACGCAAAATCACTGACAAATCATTCACAAAAAATAACATTTATCACTGTCATGTAGTGTGTGTGTATATATACACACATACCCTCCCTGCACCCTGCACAGAACCCCTTCCTTCACGCTGCAGTCTCCCTGCACCCGTCACATACCCTCTCCCCCACTGCACCCTGCACAGAACCCCTACACTCTGCACAGACCCCTCCCCCCGCACCCTGCACAGACCCCTCCCTCCCTGCACAGACCCCGCTCCCTGCCTGCACCCTGCACAGACCCCGCTCCCTGCCTGCACCCTGCACAGACCCCGCTCCCTGCCTGCACCCTGCACAGACCCCGCTCCCTGCCTGCACCCTGCACAGACCCCGCTCCCTGCCTGCACCCTGCACAGACCCCGCCTGTTTGCACTTCTGTACAGGAATTCCTGGCTTTCCTGCTCTGCACTCTGTATACAGACCTCGCTTTCCTGCTCTGCACCCCTGCACAGACCCCTCCCTCCCTGCACCCTGCACAGACCCCTGCACCCTGCAGAGACCCCTCCCTGCCTGCACCCTGCAGAGACCCCTCCCTGCCTGCACCCTGCAGAGACCCCTCCCTGCCTGCACCCTGCAAAGACCCCGCTTCCTGCCTGCACCCTGCAAAGACCCCCTCCCTGCCTGCACCCTGCAAAGACCCCCTCCCTCCCTGCACCCTGCAAAGACTCCATCCCTCCCTGCACCCTGCAAAGACTCCATCCCTCCCTGCACTCTGCACAGACCCCTTCCCTCACTACATACTGCACAGACCCACTCCCTGCACCCTTCACAGCCTTCATTTCTCCCTGAACTGTACTAAGTAGAGCCCCTGCACCCACGCACATGACTGGGCAGCACGCACATAATATCTAAGTATGAGGGCCTCACAAAGAAGGGGAAGGAGTAGTAGCCAAAAAAAAAATCTTTGTACCAAGTAGGGGGCCCTTGATCTCCTATTGCCCGAGGGCCCTGTGAGTTGTCAGTCCGCCCCTGGCTAACAGTGGACAATCCGGTTTGGAAGTGATTTGGGACATCAATAGTTTATCTAAAACTAGGATAGGACACCATTTGGTAGAGGTAGGATAGTATTTAATTTCTACCGGAGGGCCTGTTTGGATTGTCTCGGTATGGGTAATTGATAAGACGTAGTGGTCTTGTTTTTTGATTAGGTGTTTCTTTTGGAGGCAAAGCTTAGAATCAGTTGTTTTTTCCACTGAAAATTCTTTGGGTCTCAAAAACCCATAGAAAGCTAAGTAAGCTGCGGATTTTATAATTAGGTTTGTGATGTGTTCAAAAGGGGACGTGTAGAGGATAACGGAGATACTTTTAAAGAGTTTACTGTCTATGGGAAGTCTCTTGATGGGAATATGTGCTGATAATCTGTGCACGCCTCTTAAGACACTTTTTACTGGGTAGGAGGTTAGGAATGGAGTTTTGTTGGGATGGCTGGTTAACATGTAGTGTTGTATGCCTGTAGAGTTTGATAGTGTTGTAGGCTAATTTAAGAGAAATATGGCAAAAAGTTGTAAATGCAACAACCGTTTCAACAGAAAAGCATTTATTATGTGATAATCACGAACAAAATCCTTAAACAACTTGTATGCTCTAGAGTAGGCTTTCCTTGTGTTAGTGGACAAGCCTGCTTGTGTGAGAGATCTACTTTGCTGTAATAGAGAACTTAAAGCATAATTAGTTCTGTGACGCTTGGAGATCCCATGGGTTGCGGGTTTGCTGATGGGTGAAACTTGAAAAAATCCTACAAATTCAAGCGTGAGAGAGCATCAGCAGTGTTATTTTGAACACCCGGAATGTGAAAACATGTAATGCAGAATTGCAGGTTAGCCGCTAGACAGGTCAGTCTCCTTATTAATTTCATAATCGTTAGGGACTGAAAGCAACCTTTGTTAACTATATCACAGGTAGCTATGACATCCGAAAAGCATCTGACTGATTGTCCACTCCATTCTTTACCCCAGACGTGTGCAGCTGCCACTATGGGATAAATTTCAAATAGAGCTGAGATGGTATTGAAACTTTCGAGTGAGATGGTCTCAACTGGCCAGGAGTCATATAGCCATTCATTCCCAAAAATTGCTGCATATCCTAATGAAGCATCGGTCCAGATTACAGGGGAATTGTCAGATATGGATGGAATAAATAGTGACCTGCCATTCCAAGATGATAGGAACAGCTGCCACATTTGTAGATCAGCTCTAGCTGACTCGTTCAGGGAAGTAGTGGAGTCGTCGTCGGGGAGGCCGTGTAATAGTGAGAGGATTCTGGATATGAAAGACCTACCCTGAAGAATTATTCTCATAGCAAAATTTAGTGAACCAAGTAGTGACTGTAGTTGTTTCCTTGTGCAAGTGCCTTGTGACGTACAAGTGTTTATGTATGAAAGTATCCGGTCTA